TGTTGGTTTAGATGCAGTTATAAGTTTATTTAGCTCTTCCTGTCCTATAGCTGTAAAGCACTGCAGTTTATCTTTTGGTGCGATGAATGAAGCTGAAGTATTATACGCTGTAGAATCTACATTTTTTATTGTATTTCTGATGTTATCTATTTTATCAGTGAAGAAATTCATAAAGTCATTACTATTAAACTGTGCGGGAATATTTAGATCGGGTGGCGTCTGGTTATTTGTTAATCTAGCCACTGTGCTAAATAAAAACCTAGGATTGTTTTGGTTATTTTCTATGAGTTTGTGGATATGCTCGGCCCTGGCAGCTTTTAGAGCCTGTCTATAGCTGGACATACTGTTTTTCCATGCAATTCTAAAAACTTCCAAGTTAGTTTTTCTCCATTTGCGCTCAAGACTACGAGTTTTTTTCTTGAGAGAATGGGTATTACTGTTGTACCATGGCGCAGTACGTTTTTCTCTAACCTTTTTCAATTTGATGGGGGCAACAGCTTCTAATGTATTAGAGAAGATAGTGCCCATGTTGCTAGTTATTTCGTCTAGTTCATGTGTACTTATTGGTACACAGAGCAGTTGAGATAAATCAGGCAGGTTATTTGTGAATCTGTCTTTGGTGGCTGGAACAATAGTTCTGCCCGGACGATAACGTGGAGCCATATAGTTAATATTAGTAATACGCAGCATGCATGATACAAGGAAATGGTCAGTAACATCATTGCTTTGAGGTACGATATCTATATCAGTAAGATCAATTCCATGCGATATAATTAAATCTAGCGTATGATTAAAACGATGAGTGGGCCCGGTGACATTTTGCTTGACTCCAAAAGAGTTTATTAGGTCAGTAAACGCAAGTCCTAATGCATCATTTGTATTATCAACGTGAATATTAAAATCTCCGACAATTAGCGCTTTATCAACAGTAACCAATAGGTCTGAGAGGAAATCTGCAAATTCTTTTAGGAAATCTGTATACGGCCCTGGTGGTCTATACACAGTAGCCAGAGCAAGAGATACGATAGATTTCTTTTGCATATCTGACAGTGTAACATTAAGAAGAAGTATTTCGAATGAGTTAAACCTGTATCCTGTTTTCTGAGTAACATTGAGAATATCACTATATATGGTTGCAACACCGCCGCCACGACCAATCTGACGGGGCTCATGCTTATAACAGTAGCTTGGTGGAGTAGACTCATTTAGACCAATATAATCATTTGGTTTGAGCCAGGTTTCAGTCAAGCAGAGTACATAAAACCTATTATCTGTGATCATTTCATTTACAATGACGGCTTTGGGTGCGAGTGATCTAATGTTTAGGAGCCCAAACTTTAAAAATGTTTTTTGTTCATTTATTTTGAATTTTTCTGGTTTAATCACGATCAGATTTTTTCTAAATCCTGCATTAAATCTATATTTTGACCTAACTATTCGGGGAACAGACACTGTTTATAGATTGGACAGCGCAAGTACTTCTATCATTTAAGTGGGTAGAACAAAAGCCATCATAGCAGTTATTTGAGAATTGGCTTACTATTCATATGGAGCGTAGCGTCCTGGAAATGTTGTCCGACAGGAGTTCTGCTCCAACTCTGCTGGGGTGCAGGCCATCAACACGAAAAAGCCTAGGTCACTCCCAGAAAAGATTCCAATTATTAACAAAGAGCAGTTTCTGTTCTTTACACCATGACTAACCATTCGTTTAAAGCAAAAAAGTCTACTGAGCCTTTCGTGTTCTCATCGATACGTGGGAAGTGGTCCTGACTCAATGATCGTCATCGCGGGCGATGTGCTGCATACCGTCTCTATCAGGCTCCTGAAGTTCCTCTTCAGTGTTTCCGTCTGCCGCAGCTTGGTGTCGTTAACCCCCGCGTGCAGCACGGAGTGAAGGACATCTGGGAAGATCACGTCCTGGGTGCACGGGGCCTGTGCAGAGAAGCATACAGAGTAGAGGTAGTTGGAGTGTTAGCAGCGCGCTGTATACTTACCCCTGTCTTGTAAGCATCAGCCTGGGATGATTCTTTGATGAATAAAAATTTTTAAAGATCGGCATTTATTCAAAATAGAAGCCTTTTGTAAAAATAAATATTTACTATAACTTTTTATCAATTTAACATATCCTTGCTGAATAAAAGTATTAATTTCTTTTGGGGGGGAAAAGTACTGACCCCAAATGGAAACAAAGGGAATTAGTTATTATATTTATAGGGAATTTTGAAGGAATCTAAGTTCCTCAGGTAGCTCTCCGCTACCTCAGCTGGGCCTGCTTCTCCACCAGGTCATGGATCTGCTTCTCCACGGCCTCCAGCTGAACGTGTCCTCACCTCCACTCAAAGTAGACACACATCCGCCATTAAAGCAAGTAACAGTGAGTAAAACAATGTTAATGTGTGTGAATAGAGTTTTAGCAATATAAGCGAGATTAGCGGCAACCACGCTGGCGATGCTAAAGGGCTATAAGCTAATAGCGGACTCGGGAAATCAAAATAAAACGAGTGATAAGGCACTCTGATTGTTTTTGTTGTAGAATACGATAGGGGATATATTATAGAAACGGAAATGATGATAAAATTTATTTTTTAGATAAAAATTAGACGATAAGGAATTAACTTGACGGAGCTCAAACTCAAAACAACAACAAATAGAAAGTGACGTCAATAAAGTCTTGTTCGTTTCTTGTGTTTTGTGCTTACAAGTTAAGGTCTTAAACTGCCAATCTTGTTACCATGCTAATAAATAGTGTTTTAACTATATGTTTGGATATTAATATCAGCTGCATAGATGCTAGTTACAGCCATTCAGTTAATTTCTGGCAGATTAATTTGATCAGCCATAAAACTGAGATTCCTTCAAAATTTCCTATAAATATAATAACTAATTCCCTTTGTTTCCCTTTGGGGTCAGTACTTTTTTTTCCCACAAAAGAAATTAATACTTTTATTCAGCAAGATATGTTAAATTGATAAAAAGTGATAGTAAATATTTATTTTTACAAAAGGCTTCTATTTTGAATAAATGCTGTTCTTTTTAACATTTTATTAATCAAAGAATCTTGAGAACACTCAAGCAACTGCCTAGCAACCACCCAGAACACACTAGCAACTGCATAGCAACACCCTGGCAACCATTCAGATTACCTTAGCAACTACCTAGCACCACCCAGAACAACCTAACAAAAATCTTTTTAAATGTTTATACTTTCAAACTAGGCTTTGACAAACTAACGCTAAAATCTGTTTACAAACTTTACTCTTCTAATTTTGTAATTAATATTACAAACATATTTGTGATCTTGTATATACAAAATTTTGAATTCTTTAAAAAAGTGTGTGTGTTATTTTAGGAGACCTTTTTGGAGAGCAAACAGGATGGTGTGTCTCGGAAATACATCCCACCCGCAAGGTATGATGACCCTGATGACACCTGTCTTTACACAAACACATATGTTCTGGTTAGAGCTGCATGATTAACCATTAAAGGGGTCATATGATGCGATTTTCAAGTTTTCCTTTCTCTTTGGAGTGTTACAAGCTGTTCGTGAATAGATAAGATCCCTAAAGTTGCAAAGACTAAAGTCTCAACCCCAAAGAGATTTTCTCTTAAACTCGTCCATGCCCTCCTAAACATGCCCCCACATGTCTACGTCATTGTGTGGGAAGATTTGCATAACGCCGCCCAAATGTTCATGCAAAGAAAGAAGGCATAACTTTTATTCTTGCAATTTTTTTTATTCTTTCTGCCACCGCCGCCATGTCATGGAGATTTGTTTCATTGTGAAAGCGAAAATACTTTGTTTAGGCTTCCAAAAGGGGACACAACTAGAAATCAGTGGTTAAGTTGTATTTACAACACTGTTCCAGAACAGTTCAAACCAAATATTTGTGTGCAACGCATTTTACAGAGGACTGTTTCCTGAACCTGGGACAGTAGCCTACAGTGGCGGCTGTTCTTACTCACTGCCTGTAAGTATGTTTTCATATTTAAAGAATTTGCCACTGATGATTCAAACGTGAGTTTTGAGCAGTGTAGAGTAGTGCTTGTTGGTCTTTTCTCCGATCACAATTGCAGACATGGTTTAATGTTTACGTGGCGCGATATGCAGCGCAACGCGTAAAAAGACAGTATAAGTCATTATAATCAGCAATTATGTCCCCACTGGATGCAACAAATGCCTCGTTTATAATGAGTTTTATTGTTTTTGTCTCGTCGCACTGGGACACGGCATCACAATATGGTAAGGGGCGTAACATTTCCGTCACACACTTGAGATATTCGGCCAATCACAACGCACAAGATAGCTGGCCAATCAGAGCACGCCTCGCTTTTCAGAACGATGAGCTTTGTAAAAATCGACACGCGTTTCAGAAAGGCGGGGCATAGAGGAGAAAAAATAATGCAGTATGTGGAAAATAATGTGTTTTTTAAACTTTAAACCACATAAACACATTTCATTACACCAAATACACAAAATAATATTATTTTTTAGCAACGTCATATGACCCCTTTAAAAGATTACAATCTTGATTTAAACACCGGAGTTTCCCACAGGTAAGAAATATACTTTTGATTGTAGTAGCCAGTGGAAAAGGCTGGCATTATACCACAAAAATGGCCTACTCTTATTACATGTGACAAACATCAAATAATGTGCATCATTTAACACAAAATATTGTACAAAGATTTATTGTACATTTCCATTAATTGTGCTAATTTCGTCAGCTGCATTTTTAGTCACTGAAAACTGTAGCCATTTTTAGTCACAAGTTCTATTAATAAGTATTATTGTTTATCATTTCAGTCAATCTTGTCTAAAAAAACTTCACTCTGTGTGATTTATTAGTCTGTTTACCCGTAAACCTCAATTTAGGTCCCCACCGTGACAAGAGTCCCCATGAGTAATTTTGTGACATGAGTCTGTGTGTATTCAGGTTTAAGTCCCCACCAGAATAGAAAAACAGGTACACACACACACACAGTCAAACTGATGGTGACAAGAACTTTGTTTCACATTTGAGGGAGGGCTGTTAAGATCTATCAGCATACAACATATTCATAGAATGGATAGTTATTAGATGAGGAGCCTGAGACCAACATTATGAATTTATTGTTTAAGGCAGGAGTCAGGACACTTCATGTACTGTTCAATTTTGAGATTTTGGTCTATTTTGCTTCCATGTCTTCTTTTGCTCTAATGGAAAGGAAATTTCCAAAAAAACATATTAAGGTGTTTGTTTTAAGCCTACTACCCTCCTCTGCTTCTGTAGATTTCTTCTAAATTAACCAAAATGAGCTATCTGCATATTTAAACATAACATTTCAAGGTAAAAGACTATTGATGTAAGTCTTTAACTAATAACTGGGGAAGATCTGTGGTGATATGCTTTAGTTATTTTGTTTATCCTATTCATCTGCAATGCCTTGTGTCAAATGTATGCAAATTTGCGCATTTTAATTACTTAACGCCTGATTTGCATATCAATGTGGCAATCCTGATGACATTATTAATTTTACTATATTCAGCTGTCGTTTCTCCATTAAGTTAGCCTGTATGCCCATGATATATTGCCTTAGCTAAACTTTAGCTAACTTATTACATGGTAGCTCATGAGTCATGGAGGTTAGCAAGACAAATGAACTATATTTGCCTTTTGTCTTTTGGATAATTAGCTGTAAATTCGAGGCACAGGTAGCTTAGTCTTTTGTTCATCACCACTCACCTCCACACCAAGACAAACACAACTGGAAAGGGAGGGAGGGCTTCACTGCGGCTCTGCCTGTCTGTGATGTGCCAATTAATGTGTGCTACACTGCTGTGCTGTGCGCAGGGCCGTAGCTGGGGTTTGCGGTGCCCCAGTGCAGGTTGTACCAGTGGGCCCTGTTTGAAACGGTTTAATTTGTATGTTCGTTCTATTTATTTATTTGTGCTATTTACACAATGTTTACGTTTTTCAAGTTTGTTAGGTGTCCAGGTACAGAAACCGAATAATCAAATGTAAAATAGCACTGCATAGTCTTCACTGTAAAAATTAAATATACAGGCAAACCAAAATTTATTCAGACACCTTCAACATTTCTCACATTATCACAGTTTATTTGCTATAGTTTAGAAAATGGTAATAAAATATGACAAGAACTCAAAATGTGTCAGAACAAATTCATCTTGATAATGTCAGATAACTTTAATGGATTACAATCAACCAAAAATTCAGACAACTTGTTAGTATGACAATATTTACACAACTATCAATACTTTGTTGACCAATTACCAAGCAATGCTTAATTTTGTTCAGTCTGTGGTGTAAAAAGGTCGCATTAGCAATTAAAGAAAATAAGAAAGTAATTCAGTCAAGAGCAGTGAGTGATTTTCATTCTTTCATTTTCTTGGATTAACATTACAGCAGCTAGTAAGTTAGGTGCGGTCATTTCAAGAGGCAATGCATTCATTATAATGATACACATCCGATTTCTTTCTCCACTGTTTACTTACACTTAAGACATAACCGACAGTTTTTCTGAGGATACTCTCCAAGACGGGTATTTTGACATAAGTTTTTATGTATTTGTCGGTACAAGAGCAAGAAGAGGCAAATTTTGGTGTTCAATCGCTTTGAGACGTGTCTCTGCGTGCGCCCTGTGCGCACAGAATACAGCTCGCGGGTGCTGAATTGGGCTCTTTCACCTCTTTTTCTGTTTGCATGTTTAAACTGCGATTTGTATTTGTTCGTTCAGGTGCAGGAGGAGGAGAGCTCGGTTCGGTGTTGCTGTCCGTGAGATGTGGCTCTCTGTGTGCGCAACGAACACGGCGCGCGAGTAGCCTACTCAGTTGAGTTTTTCCGCGTCTTGTGTTTGAATGCTTTAAACCCTTTTGAATGTTTGGCAAGGCTTAAAAACACATGCAAATGATAAGCTTTCGTGACAATGCACAGCAGTAGCCCGTCAACTGTCCTGAGCGTCTTTTTAGGCTGGCCTCAGCCAGTCGGTTAAGATCGCCATGGGCCCCTATAATCGTCACCACCTTTCACCCCACTAGCGACGGACCTGGCTGTGCGCCTGCGTGGAGACGTGGAGGGGAGAAAGGCATCGGAACTCGACAGTCTCAACATTTCCTGACCCGACCTGATATTTTGATTTTGTATTTGTTTGACAGGGAAAGCTGTGCACAAACAGAAACACACACACACATAATACATACTCATTTATTTAAAAAAAAAATTAAAAACCCATGAAAAAAGGACACTTTCTCTCGAGTAAGTAAAAGGGCAGGTGCTCAAGCCCCCTTTGATGTCTATGTGTGCACGTGCCTGGTTTTATGTGCTTTGTCAATGGTAGCGCTCGCTAACTTACTCAAGGTCTCCTCTCTGTGCCAATCACAACAGGCTTGGCCAACTGACCAATCATAGCAGAATAGGCTTATGGAAGGGAGGGGTTTGCTCCGAACTTGCTTGGAACTAATTTTTTTGAGATCAGTGGCAAATGACTCTAATATTAAATGTATATTCTGAGAAAATTACAATGTTTTCTGGCCTTAGATGCATTTAAACCTGTTGTAGAGGACTCCCACACAATATTAGGACACTTTGAAATACCATATGACCTGCTCTTTAACAGACATCTTGCAGACGTATGTGTGGCATCTGGGAACACCCTGAATGCAAGCCTCCACCACATCCTATCAGGCTACAAGACGGCACTCTCCCAAGGTGAGATGGTGGCATGACCAGGTCCTGAGAAGGCTGGCAGAGATCCTGGAGAGACAGAGGCAGGAAGCGAGTAGAGAGAACTTCGCACCAGCAGACCGTTCCATCCAGTTTGAATGGGGAGGTGGCAATAGCGCCACTCCAAGAGTACCATGGAGACCGGCCCGCTTGACCCAGAACTGTAGCATTAGAGTCAACCTTGGCAGGAAGCTCCAGTTCCCCACCGAGATCACCAGCACAAGTCTGCATCTAAACATTGTGATGTGGTCCAGCAGCTCCAAAGCGATACTCCTTGTTGAGTTAACCATTCTGTGGGAGGCAGGGCTTGGAGGCTGCATGGGAGAGGAAGAGGCTGAAATACGCAGATCTTGTGGCTGAGTGCAGGGAGGTGGGATGGAGAACCACCATTTACCCGGTAGAGTTGGGATGCAGTGGCTTCGTAGGGACATCAGCTGTCCACCTCACGAGAGATCTGGGAGTGTCTGGAGCAAGCCTTCGGAAGACCCTCAAAGATCTGGCTGAGGAAGCAGAGAAGAATAGCTTTAGACTCTGGATAAAGAGGAAGGACACGTGTTGGAGAACCAAGTTTTGTTAACCGGAGCAAAGGAAGCAAAGTTGCCTTTGTTTAACAAAGGAAACCAGTCTCCTCTTGGCTTAAATCAAAATCCTCTGACATTTTTCTTTACAAATCCTTGTTTTGTACTT